GCTATAGCGTCAGGAGCTGCCCCACCCTTCCCCTCCAGGACCGGCTTTCCCTAGTTCCTGATTTTTGCTGTTCCGCTTCCCAATCTTCCTCCGGTTGCTGGATCATGCGCACCGCAGGAGTCGAAGTCAAACTGGAGGCTTCTTTTCACTTAATTGGGGGCAAACTGCTTTTATATGCCCCGGTTTCTTACAATAAAAGCACAGTCTGGAACTCGGAGACAATTTAGCACGTTCCCCACCTGCTGTAGAGGAGTCTTTTGCAGGAGTAGGGGGACCCCTGCTTTGATCTTTAACGGGAGGGCCGGACCTCCCGCCAGAAGCTGAGGCTGCCAGTCTGGACCCACCGGCCGGTCCCCTGTTTACCAGATGAGAATGATTTAGTCTAAAAGATTCTGCGAATTCTGTGGCCTCCTCTAAAGATCGTGGACTTTGGTCAGCAAACAAACTCGCAATTTCTGGAGACAGGTGGCGCATAAGTTGCTCTATTAGGGGTCTGGGTAAAAGGCGGATCTACATGGATCCTCATGGATCCTCCACTTTTTTAAAAAATAACTCCAACAAACGCAGTGTCAAATCACACCTAGAAGGCACGCCTACAAACTGGACTATAAAAAACATGGATCCAACACCACAAAAACATGGATCTGAGGCACGGATCCTCATGAATTCATATGATTTTTGCACTAGATCAGCCCAAACTCACCGTCAAATTACATATCATGTCCAGGGGCATAGCCTGCACCACAAAAAACACGGATCCACGGCTTCCTGGCCATACCGTGGACTAAAAACGTGGTTTTGAAGCATGGATCTTCATGGATCCTCACACTTTTTGCATTGGGCCAACCCAAACTCACTGTCAAATCACATATCATAGCCAGGGGCACAGCCAACACCACAAAAAACTCGGATCCACGGTCTGGCAACGCCATGGCCCAAAAACGTGGTTTCGAAGCACGGACTCATGGATCCTCATGATTTTTGCAAGATCAGGCCCAAAGTCACATCAGATCAAACATCATGCCAGGGGCACAGCATCACCACAAAAATCACGGATCCACGGCTTCCTGGCCATCGTGGCCCAAAAACGTGGTTTTGAAGCACGGATCCTCATGGATCCTCACACTTTTTGCATTGGGCCAACCAAATCACTGTCAAATCACACATCATGGCCAGGGCACAGCCTACACAACAAAAACTGGATCCACGGCTTCTGGCCACTCCATGGCCCAAAAACGTGGTTTTGAAGCACGGATCCTCATGGATCCTCATTTTTGCATAGCCAGCCCAAACTCACCATCAAATCAAACATCATAGCCAGGCACAGCCTGCACCACAAAAAACACGGATCCATGCTTCCTGGCCACTGTGGCCCAAAAACGTGGTTTTGAAGCATGGATCCTCATGGATCCTCACACTTTTTGCATTGGGCCAGCCCAAACTCACTGTCAAATCACATATCATGTCCAGGGGCACAGCCTGCACCACAAAAAATACGGATCCATGGCTTCCTGGCCACTCCATGGCCCAAAAACGTGGTTTCGAAGCACGGATCCTCATGGATCCTCACACTTTTTGCATTGGGCCAACCCCAAACTCACTGTCAAATCACATATCATGTCCAGGGCACAGCCTGCAACACAAAAATCACGGATCCACGGCTTCCTGGCGACACCTAGCCCAAAAACGTGGTTTTGAAGCACGGATCCTCATGGATCCTCATGCTTTTTGCACTAGATCAGCCCAAACTCACCGTCAAATCACACATCATGCCCAGGGGCATAGCTTGCACCGCAAAAAACTCGGATCCATGGGTTCCTGGTCATACCATGGCCAAAAAACGTGCTTTTGAAGCACGGATCCGGTACTATACCAGCTGCACTGGCTCCCGGTGGAGTACAGGATCAGGTTTAAGGTGCTGATTTTAACCTTTAAAGCCCTATATGGCCTAGGACCCTCGTGCCTACGGGACCGCCTCTCCTGGTATGTCCCACAGAGAAATTTACGGTCTGCAAATAAAAACATCCTGAAGATCCCAGGCCACAGAGAGGTTAGGCTGGCCTCAATTAGAGCCAGGGCTTTCTCGGCTGCGGCTCCAATCTGGTGGACCGCTCTGTCACAAGAGACTAGGGCCCTGCAGGACCTGACATCTTTCCGCAGGGCCTGCAAGACAGAGCTGTTCCACCAGGCCTTTGGTCAGGGCGCAGCCTGACCCCCTCCTCTGGCAATCTGCACAGAATTTTGCTTAATGGTTGCCATCAATTTGATTTTAATTAATTTTATAATGAATGTTTTTAGAATGTTGGATTATTCTGTTTGTTGTTAGCCGCCCTGAGCCCAGCTTTGGCTGGGGAGGGCGGGATATAAATAAAAATTTATTATTATTATTATTATTATTATTATTATTAAGTTCTTCAAAGCCACACACACCTTCGGCTGAAAGCCAAAGTTCAAAGTTCTGGGCCATTTTCGCAGAATACACAGCAATGCTGTCTGAGGGACAAGACTTATCCCCTTTTCAGAAAGCCCTCCGATAGTTCTCAGGATGAAGTCCATGCCTTTGCATGACTAATTTTTTAAAGCGCTCATAGTCATGGATTTGGGATGAGGGGAGATGGCCCATCAATTCGGCTAGGTCTCCACAAATTAGGGAGCGCAAAAATTGGCATGTACATTTTCAGGGACACCCCCAATATCTCGGCAGGTTACTTCAAAAAGAGTCAGATAACTCAGAACATCAGTGGGGGGCTGATATTTCGGAAATGCCCCCAGTTAAGGTTGCTCAAAGTTAGCCCCGGAGGAGACTGTCTGCCATTTTCTCCTGGTGGCTCCTCGTGATTGTAGTCATACCTTGGAACAGGATGTCGAGACGCTCATCCCTCCGGACGCAGGTGTTCCGCCGCTGCGTATACACGCGAGGGTCCAGGGAGAAATTCCTCCTCCTTCTCCGCCGCGTAACATTGCACCGCTCCACCACTTTCCCAAGCTCTTACTGGCGAGTAGACCCGTCCTGGGGTGGGGGAACGCCGTCATCACCCGTTCTTGCGAATGTCGCGACGATGGACACTCTCGACGGTAGGTATCCCACAGACACTTCGTGCAGCTGTGGCGGCAAGATCTTGAATACTCATAAGCCATCCGGCCTGGCCTCTCTGCCCCATAAGAAATGGTTATTGACCCACTCAACCGCATTCGCCCTCTGAAAACCTCCATCTCTTTTAGGCGCTCTGCATTTTAAAACAAGATAGTTTCCCTCTAGGACGTGTGGAGGCCATCCCAGCTTTCCACTTCCTCACAAGGTGACAAGGGGTGGTTAACTGGCGCGCCCCTCTCTCTCTCCAAGTTGCAGGACTCTTGCCCACCCTTCCAAACAGTTCTTAATTCGCTGGCATCCACCAGCTCTCTCTCCGACTCGGATCTCCCGAAAACCAGGAGGCGGATTTCCACTTCTGGGACTTGGAGGTTGGGGGGTTGTCTTCCGAAGGAAGGGAACTGCCTTCTCCACCCGGAACCCCATTCGTCCACAGTTCGCAAAGTGTATTTCCTGGGGAGCCCCGGCTTCCATAATTCCTGACTATCTCTATCCCCCCCCAAAATAAAACGCCTTAGTACACAAAAGATTCGTGCCAATTTTAAAATCAAAGTGCCTTTCTGCAGGGAAGTTCCATCCCACCGCTGCCACCATGTAGTAAAGGGGCTCCTTTACTAATATAATAATAAAAAAATTTATTTATACCCCACCCTCCCCAGCCAAGACTGGGCTCAGGGTGGCTAACAACCAATAATAAAAAAACGTTGATTAAAATACAATTTAAAGATTAAGATACAACATTAAAACATTAGGATGCAGCCTCTTCACAGGAGGGAAAAGGAAATAGAAAGAGGGGGAGGGAATCAAACTGATTCTAAGCCAAAGGTCAGGGTGGAACAACTCTGTCTTACAGACCCTGCGGAAAGAAATCAGATCCTGCAGGGCCCTGGTCTCATGAGACAGAGCGTTCCACCAGGCCGGAGCCAGTGTTGAGAAGGCCTGGCTCTGGTTGAGGCTAATCTAACTTCCTTAGGGCCTGGGACCTCTAGGGTGTTGCTATATATGGACCTTGAGGCTTCTCCGTGGGGCATACCAGGAGAGGCGTCCCATAGGTACGAGGGTCTAGGCTGTGAAGGGCTTGGAAAGGTCAAGATTAGCACCTTAAATCTGACCCTGTACTCCACCGGGAGCCAGTGCAGCTGGGAAAAGCGCTGGGTGAATTATGCTCCCATGGCAGAGACCCCGTGAGGAGCCCCTCGCTGCAGCATTCTGCACCCGCTGGAGTTTCTGGGACAGATTCAAGGGCAGCCCCACGTAGAGCGATATTACAGTAGTCAAGCCTGGAGGTGACCATTGCATGGATCACTGTTGGCCAGGTTGGGGCGGGAAATGTAAGGGACCAAACTGCTTGATGAGGCGAAGGTGGAAAAATGTCACCTTGGCTATTGTAACCTGCGTCTCCATGGAAAGGGAGGTGTCAAGGATTACACCCAAACTCTTAAACCGAAGGCTTAAATGAATAGAAGGATGAAATAAGGTCTCTAAGGAAATGGAGGCCAGAGATTTTCAGATTTGTTTCCCAACCTACCTCGTCTGTGCTTTCCTGATGAACACAAAAACATGAATGGGTCTGATCCATTCTTCACATTCTGATGTTCCTGTTTCTCTTTTCTCTTTTTCTCATGGACAGGGAATTGATTTTGATGAAGATCAATATTCGGAAATCGGCCTGGAAGATGGGGAGGATCTTCCTCCAAGGTAATCCTGTGCTAATCCCCTCCCCCATAATCAATTGCTTTTTAAAAAAAAACCCGGTCCATTTCTATGGTGGTGGTGCTTGGGGTCTTTGAAGGATGGGAGGCAATAAACCCTTTTGACAAAAGTGCTACTCCTGTCTCCCCTCAGCATCCCAACCACAGCTTCTCTGGATGCGGCTGATCTTCCTCCTGAAAGCGGCAGCAGGGACCAGCTGAACAACAGACTTACGGATTTCGTCGCAACAATAAAGAGTGGGATGACCGAAGGAAGGCGCTCCGAGATCTTGCGCCTTCCTGCAGAAGATCCAGGAACATGTGAGTTGCGTGGCGAGTTCCCGCCTCCCCACGGAAATAAAGACACAGGACACCAGTATTTTAGGTTAATGGGCAAAATTAGGCCACAACTTTATTGATTACAGGAATTGAGTGGTATTGGCTTAGGCATTGGTCCTATCGACTAACCGGCTTCAGCCTGATTGCTAGAAGACCGGCAAGGGTTAACCACCAGTAGGGGGAGTCCTGCTGATGTACATCAACTAGGAGCTCCCCCGGAGTCACCGCTCGGGGGCATGCCTTAGGCCCACACCTCCATAGGCTTCGGACAGGGCAACGCCCCACGGAATCCTTTTAACCGGACTACCCTTCGATATGGGGGAAGGTGATGGCGCTTCCTCCCCCCCAACTCACCTGCATAACCAATACCCTTACCAATGCCTAACCGCCAATGCCGAGGAAGTTGTGACGATTTGCTACGAGGTAGGCAAAAAGCCAAAAGGCTGGTGCCAATTTGCCAAGTGGAAAAAATTCCTACCAGGCCCCTTGACGGCGACCAACCGAAGTCCATAGCAATGTCAAAGAGCCAAACCTAAAGGGTGGGAGGGTGGGAAAATCGGAGCAGCTGGGGCGCTGGGGGATTGGCTGGCAAGGGAGATGACACGCCCGAGGATTCCCTGCTCTCACGGGGGGGGGGGGGGGGGCTGCAAGCCAGCCCCGAGTACGTGGGGGGAGGGCATGAAGCCCACAACCCCACCTCCTCTCCAGCTCAGAAGTGGCTTTACTGAAGGGAAGCATTGCAACCATGCAGGGCTGTCAAGGCCTTCAGGCTGCTGCTTCTAGGCCCATCCTGCAAGGTGCCCAAGGGACGATCAGGCATCCCAGCACATACTCAATTTGGAGAACAGAGCTGGGCCATAGTGAGTAAAGTGGCTGAGAAAAGAAGAAAAAAAGCAAACATTAGGAAAAGAGGGTTTAGGTTTAGGATGCTAAATGTTTTGGAATGTTTGGAATAAAAATGTTATAGGAAAATGGTGATCAGTCCCTTCTCTGGGTTTCTTTCTCAGCCATCGGCAGTGATTCATGCATGCTCCTATGGCCAACTGGTGGCGATTTCCTGCCTTTGTGCATTGGATCCGGACCCGGAGAGCAGGCAGTGGGCAGCAGAGGCTCTCTGCCATCTTCTGCCCATCCTGCGGCACAACGAAGGTAAGACTGGAAGAATGCATCCCAGCATGGGGTGGGGTGAGCAAGACCCAAACTAACCCTTTGGCTTTCCTTTGGCAGAGACACTGGCAGGAACGTTAAGGAACCAAATGCTCATCATCGAAGCTGAGCAGGTCCTCGAATCCACCGGAGGACCGGTTCCCTGGGCTGTTTCGTGAATAACTGTTACTCTCTTGTCAGGGTAAGTCGCTGTCTCTCAAGCCACATGTTCTGGGTTCCGCAGAGGCAGCACCTGGGCTTTCTGCTCCCCAGCCCTGCCCTGTGGGCATCTCTGACCTTCCTCTCTCGCTTCAGGTCTTTGGCGCCTTTCTCCCTGCGGCGCAGCTCTTGGAGGCCATGTGCTTCCTGGCCAGAGACCTGGTTCTTGAGAGCAGCTTCGACCCCTTGGACATCTCCCACCTGCTGCAAGATTTCATCAAGCAGTTTGGCGGCACAAAAGTGAAGGTAAGGCGTCTTCAAAGGTAGGAGAGAAGAAGATTCTCTGCTTTGGTGTAGGGGAGGCAACCAATACTCCCCAGGACCCTGAGTGGTACCTTGGAAGGAAGAGGCTGTGGTGGCACAGGTCAAGGGTCCCTCTTTCAATGAGGGATGGAGACAGCCCCGCTTCCTTGTACTCTCCAAGCAACCCTCTCCTTTTCTCTGACAGGTGGAGGTGCTGCTGGAGGCCTTCTATAAGATCGCCCAGGGGCCTACAGTGCAAGGCAGGAACATGGCCGTCTTCGCGTTCTCCATCTTGGCGCACCACCACCTGGACCAAGTGGTGCAATATCTCCTCCAGTTTCCCTTCGGGTATGGAGCCCTCCAGGTTCTACTGGGCTAAGGGGGAGGTTGGCAAGCTGCAGGGCTTGCTCAGAAAGCCCTTGCTGCCATTTCCTCTCTCTGGAGCATGGCAGCAAGCAGAAGACTTGAATCTGACCATTGCTCTTGTTTTTGCATTCACAGAGACTGCGAGAGAGTATGGAAAGGAGGTTTTACCATCGGCCGATCCAGAACAACTGCTCAATCTCATGGCCGAGCAGATTTACCAAAGCCCCTTGGCGGAATCTGCCACCCAAGTGGTAAGGACCAACCACCTGCTTTCTGGCTTCCTTCTTCCCAGGGTAATATCGAGGGGTTCCTGTATTCTGCAGAAAAGCAGAGAAAGTGACTTGCACCCCTCTCTCTTCCAGCAACATCTCACCAGCCTGTGGCACGCCATCCTCAGGATGGAGGACTACAAGGCAGCTGTGCGCCAGAACTTCCCACAGCTGCTGATCGCTCTCCTGGGGATGGTTGTCAACTTCCACTACTATCAGGAATTCCTTGGGTGAGTAGTGTGTTGCAAAGGGACCAATGGAGTCCTTTCCCCTTCAGCCTCGGGGGGTTTCCAGTCCAGCTTGGTTTTCCAAGGGAGGCTCTCCTTCAGGCGGCTGCTGGGGAAGGAATGTGAGTGTGTGCCAATGACCCTCCTGGTAAAACTGGCCTTGCTTTGGTTCCAGAGGGGCTAAGGAAGTTCTGCACCTCCTTCTTGGCACCACTGGAGAGCAAGTGGAGGCGGCCATCGTTGACCAACTTTTCTGCCGGGAGACTTTCAGCCAGGGGTTGTCTGCCATGGTGAGGTAAGAGGAAGAACGCGGTGACCTTCCCCAGTGGTCTGGCAAACGGAGCTGAAGGCACGGGATCGGACTGTGCCCGTTTGCTTCCTGCGGTGTCTTTCCCTTCCTTACCAAGATCTCCTTCTCCATTTCAGAGCCGTCGGAAAACAACGCTGGTGGATCTCTCCCATGGTGGAAAGCATCATCGCTGCTCTCGAGGACCAGGAATTTCCTGGGATGCCACAAGTCGCGGCAGCTATCTACATTGAGGTGAGGGGGACTGACGCGGGCGGAAATGGGTGCAGCAAGGAGGCCCTGGCTTGGTTTCTGCCGAGTGTTGGGCTACTTTGAGCCTAAGGACTGTTGCCTGTTTTAGTGCTCCTCAGAGTAGACCCATTGGATTTGATGTACATGGCAAACTTTGGTCCATTCACTTCAGTGGGTTGCTCTGTGCAGAATTGCAAATGGTGGGTAAAAGGAGAACCTGCCTCAGCCTCTTATCCCTGAAGGGTTTCTTTCTCTTTGGGCCTCTTTAGCTGCTCAGCTGCCGTCTGGGGGTCTATCCCTGTGAAGATACACTGGAGCAGCTCCTCAACTGGCTGGAACACGACTGCCTGGAAGTCCGGAAGCTCAGTGTCAGAGGGATATCCCTGCTTCTGGACTCTGACATGGCAAGTGATGCTCAGAGGAGGGGGGGGGTACAGATCTTGATTCTAATCATGGCCCAGCACTCTTTTGCTGGCACAATACTGAAGGGCCTGTGCTAAAAGGCGTGAGGCCTTTCAGACCTTTGAAAAGATTCTCTCTTTTGTGTAGGGACCCTTCCTTCCTGAGGGATTCCCTCTCTGATGTAGAAGCTGATGTCCTCCCAGAATTGATAGAGCTGGTAGACCAAGCCTACCATTCCAGGGAGCTGGGAGAGAAAGACCTGGAGATGCTGGCGGCAACCTACTGCGGCCTGGCTGCCCATGTGAGTATGAGGGGAAACATGACACCACACCCAATGGAGGAGGAATGCTTTGGAAGAGGAAGGGTGGGGTTTAGACTGGCATGCAGCGGAGATGTTCTGGCTTCAGGAGGGTGTTCCTGATCTGATGAGAAACACAACCTCTGATATTTTCTGCCTATAGGAGGAAGCCTCCGTCCGGGAATCAGCCATCGAACATCTGGGGCTGCTTCGGGGCTGGGCGAGAGACCAAAGACTTCCCATTACAACAACAGAAGAGGAAGCCATTCACGAACTGGTTGTGGTCCTCATTCACCTCGAAGACGAGGACCTTGAAGTGGCCAAGGTGAGGGCCAAAGAGGTGGACTTATGCAGTAGGAGGGAGGGATTGTTCTCAGGAGCTTCGAGACTATGTACCGCAATTTGTAACCCTCTTCTCTTCTTGTGTTGCAGGCCGCAAGGAGGGCTCTTTCCCATCTAGCCCCAGAAGTCAAGTGTGGGCTCGTTCCAACAAATTTAGCCTCCACTTTGCTCTCCACCAGGCTGCCAAGCATATGGTAAGGTCCCTCTGCCTTTGTTGGCAGCTTTGCCCAGGCAATGTCTTTGGGAGTGCAAGCTCTTCTGCTGCGCTCTCAAGCCTCTCTGATGCCACTTCTCCTTTGTCTTTGCCCACAGAGCAAGACCTTCAGCAAGGGCATCCTTCGGAGTGCTGCCTTATCATGTACGCAGCCGTCTGCCAACAGTCTGCCAGCAGTCTCCAGGGTGGCAGCTCTGCTTCTGGGTAAGTCAAGCAACGTTCTTCCCTGGTAGGGATGGACAGAAACGTCTTGGTAACAATGGCAGGGAGGATGGACATGTCCCCAGGCCACCTGCTAGGTAGGCCTCCATCTGTGCCCAGATCTTGCTCTGAGTGCTCCGTGAGGGTGGAGGCCTCTAGAGCATACCTGTCCTCCTGCCGAGCTGCCTCTGTCTCCGCTTGCTTTGCACCAAGATGACGTCCCTTTTCTTGCCTCTTTCTCTCTCTAGGTCATCTGGCTTTCCGGGATGCCAGTTTCATCCACAATCAAGACATGGCATCCTATGGAACATGTGAGTGAGACGTACGGAGGGCAGGGAGGGATGCTTCTGCTGAGAAAGGTCTTCAGGGGAAGGCAAATTCTCAGATGTATGTTCAGGCAGAGGTGCCACAAGATGAACATGCAAAAGAGAATTGGAATGTGACTTCACTGCTCTCTCTTACACACAAACACAGCTGACGGCTGTTTTCATATTGTTGATGGGTGGCTCTTTTCCTGTGCATCTCTGCCTTGCTCAACCTTTCTCCCTTGCCACTCAGGGCTGGAAGAGATGCAGCAGCACGAGGAAGAAGAGCTTAGGCAGACAGGGAGGAGCTGCCTGAACATCGTGCAGCGGGCCTATAGACATCGGAGGGAAGGCAGGGTCCAGCGCTTTTTGAGGAGGCTGCTCCACTGCGTTCACAGGGAACCTTACCCACAGGACTTCCTGAGCTGCATGCCAGGTGAGTGAGGCATCTGGTGGGCTATTGAGACATCTGGTGGGCTGTTTGGATGGGGCGTTTCTCAACGAGCCCCTTTCTCCTCCTGACTAGAACATCCGGAGTAGCGCCAAGGAACGTGGACACCAGAGTTGTGCTGCAGAGATACCATCTTCTGCTCTCCGCAGGATCCAGTCTGGACCAGCGCCAGGAACATCAACACCATCAGGATCGACCAAGAGGAGTGGTGCTGCCCTCACGACCCTCCGTACACAGCGGTAGGAAACCTTTTGTTGTTGTGTTTCTTGTTGATGTTGTTTTGATTGTTGATTTTATTCATTTGAATCTCAGGGTGGTTCACAACACCAAGTATATGAAGCACAAAATAAATAATAGGAATAATCACTGCACAAAATTCATAATAAAAATATCAGAACATAATATAAATTAAAATAATAAAACATACTAAAAATAGCCACAAGACCAATGTATGCACACTAATAAACAATACAGAGAGCCCTGAAACAACACTCCAGCCCACAAATACAAAATCTAAATCAACGTAACACATTAACAACCATTTACACAACCCCACCTTCTTGAAGAAGGCTGATATATTAGATTTAGAAGGTTGGAATGCGAGGTTTGGATGGCACGCCTACCTAACATACAACAAAGTGGCAGTGCCACTTTTTTGGGGGTTTTGGATTTTGGGTTGGGGTGTTTGGGATTCAAGGACTTGGTTCTGGGTTTTAATTTCTGTGTGGTGGGTGGCTGGGTGCTTTTGAATTTTTTGGATTTGAAGCACATCACTGATTTTTTTTTCTTTTTCTGAGTTTACGAAGGTAAGAGCTGTCCTGCCATGGG